AATCAGTGGATTTTGTAGTAGTGACGTTCCAACCCTTAAAAGACCTCTTTGAGGTACACACACACTTGTTCGAGGTTCGGTTGGAGGTACATTCGGCCTGATTCCTAACGGATACGTAGGCAACCTCACATCAAGGTGCGATCGTAATAAAAATGCATTCATACATTCACATTCATAATTACATTCATACATGATCATATTAAGGGATCTCATATACTCATCCCTATCCATTTAGAGTTAAACTTGGGGGGCTTGATCCCTACATTATTAGCTTACCTAGCCTAAGATTCACCACTATTTAACTCTTTTCAAAATATTTTTCCATACACTCAGCCTTTGTAGCTTAGACTTAGTGTCACTTTCACACATATCACAGATACATAGACAAATAATCCTTCTCTTATGAAGCTTTTGTCATGAAATCTTAACACGACGTTGAAGCATGCCTCCATTGCCTCATCGTATTAGAGTCGTTTGTCACTCATCATCACAAACATTATTGCATTACAAAGTATGAAGTGCTTAGCCTACGTGCCTAAGTTACCCAAATATTTTCATCATCGAGTCAACAATTGAGATAGCCTAGGATGAATTAATCCTTGCACTATGAGATACAACATTAATGCTTACATTTGACTAAACTCATTCAACATGCACTGCATACACTCAAACACTCACTTCGATTCCTTTTTGTGTCTTTCTTTTTTGAGAGAAAGTCGGTACCCTCCACAAAAATGACGGAAAATATTTGCTTTTTTGAGTTGCACAATCACAATACAATGCATACACGAGTCATGAATATTGAGTCATGCCATGTCACAACACGTCAAGTTGAATTTACACAAACGTGTCAAAGCACCTTGAGTTAACCTCAAGTCAAAGCAATCAGTCAAACCTTAGGTCAACCCAAAAAAAAAAAACACCAGCAAAGTCTTTTGGCAATCTTTTGATTTTACAAGATACAACCATTCAGCAAAGCTCCTATTCGTAGTCAATAAAAAGATCTTAACAAACATTCAAGCATTCAAAGCTCTTTTGTTTAAAGATGCGTGGACATTCCTTTCAAGCTCTTTTTCTTAGAGACGCGTGGGCATCCTATAAAAGCTTTTTTGTTCAAAGACGCGTGAACATTCCATTCAAAGTTCTTTTGTTCAGAAACGCGTGAACATTCCTTTTGAGCACTTTTGTTCAGAGACGCGTGGGCATCCTATCAAAGCTCTTTTATTCACAGACGCGTGAACATTCCGATCAAAGCTCTTTTGTTCAGAGACGCGTAAACGTTCCTTTCAATATCTTTTTCTCGGAGTCGCGTGGGCATAACATTCAAATCTCTTTTGTTCAGTGAAGCGTGGACATCTCCTTTAAGCTCCTTTGTTTAGAGACGAGTGAACATCCCTCATCAAGCTCTTTTGTTTAGAGACGCGTGGACATATCATTTGACGCTCCAATGTTCGGAGATGAGTGAACATCAATAGAAAATGCACAACAAAAATACAAGAAACGATACAAATTGCAAAGCACCGACAAACTGAAGACATCTCCAAGCAGTGGTCTTCGACGATATTCTCTTGAAAGAGAAAATTGTCACAACAAAGCTGAAGATGGCTACAATAAGTTATTACCTTCGACAATGATTCCTAGGATGTGGAGAGTTGTAACAAATAATCGAGGATAGCTACAAGCAGTGGTCTTAGATGATGGAGTTCATGAGGCACTATGGAGGTTATCACAAATGCAACAACAAAATTGGTTACTCTAGAGGCGTGTGCTCGACGGTGCAAGATACGCATTTTTTAACTCTTTTATCTATTTAACTAATGCTAGTTTACAGGTATTGGCCCCATAATGATTTAGGATTGCAGAACATTCTAAATCATTCTCCGTCCCTATCTATCACTACTTTGACTTTTGTTTTCGAAACATGCGTTTCTCCAAACTCAGTCAAAGTGGGGGCTTCTGTAGACACCCAATTGTGTCTCACCAAAAACCAAACCCAGTGATGAATAGTTTTCACGTTGCTTGATTATTGAATGAAGTGAAAGTGTGAAAAGTCTGGTGATGCAATCATTTTAATAAAAATCACTTTCTTCCTGTTTTTGAAATGAACTCTATTTATGGAAATAGAAAGTCCAATTTAGCTTGGTCCATGATAAGGGTCCATTAATAGTGTAGTTTGGTCAGGCTTGTAAAGAGCTTTCCAATGATATACTGTAAGCCCAATTCCGATGAATAATGAGGAAGTTATGTTCCAAATACTAAATTGGTTTTGAAATGGTTTTATGGATCAATGATCTAGTGGAGGGCCCAATAATTATTATTCCTAAAATTATTAGGACAGATTATAGTCTTCTAGAATAGACTAGAAGGTTATTTTGAGTTCTAATAGCATTAGGATTGATAATTAATCTTTTAGAAAAATAATGAATTTGGTTTGAAATAAACCAAGTGATTTATTTTTATAAAATCTGATTTACAATTAATTAAAATGGAGTTTTAATTGCTTAATTATATTAAGAAGAGGATTCCGTATAAAAGCGCGTTTTATCTTAAACAAGCGCCAAACGACAAGTCTGTTGCCAACCGACAAAGCATGTCGCCATGTGTGATCCTTGTCGTTTCGCGTTGGGCTCTATCGCTGGCGACAAAGGTCAGTTTTATGTTGATTCAAATTTTGATTTGTTTCTATCCATTTCAGACTATTTTCTTATAAATAGGGGTTGTATTTTCCCTTTTTTATACATTCGCAACCATCTAATTCTATTCTTTTTCTCTAAAAGCTAGAGGCTTGTTCTTTCTCCCTCTTTCTAAACCTTTCGCTTTTACAAAATTCCACTTTCACTAGTTCTAGACACACCTAGCCTAGATAGAAGTTGCCTTCGCCCTCGACGTGAAAAGTTGATAAGTTCTGAGGTTTTGGAACCAAATCCCTATTTTAATTATTTAATTTAATTGTTTGATTTATTATTTTCCTTGAAGTTACTAACGCGTGTATTTTGTTATTAGAAAGAGATACGAGGCATCTAATTAAGTAATTTAATTACTTTGTTATTTTTGATATAGAAATCATGCTATAATTATTTTAATTCCTAGCAATCATGTTAGGATGTCTTTATGATTCCTAGTATCATGTTTGGGATAATAACTAATATTTCTAATATCATGTATGTTCCTAGTATCGTGTTTAGTTTGCTTCCTAATAATTTTAATATCATGTTAGTTTCATATTAGGGATAAAGCTTTGATATTTTTTGTTTAGTGACATTCTAGGATTTGTTATTAATATTATTAGTATCATGCCTAGGATCTTGCTATTATTATGTTTTGATGAGAATATTATTATGATGATGATGATTGTTATTAATGTGTTTCTTGATATTATTGTTATTATTGTTATTGCTTGATCACGCCCTCTCTTGCATGTTTAAAGGGAATTGGTACTTGTAATCACGCTTAATAAGATAATTAATAATCTTGTTTAGGCTAATATGATTATAATTCAAGTGATCACCAATAATAGATTTTTTTGTGCATTAATATTCAACCAACATAGATTAAACAGGCTTAGGATTAATATATTGTTTGTATATTAGTCATAAAGCACACATGAATATGAGAAGAATAAAGTAGAGGCCTATTTTTAGGGCTGATTCAATCTCTTTTATGTTGGATTTGTACTTTCATCCCCGAATATCCAATCATGATTCTAGACCATTATGGAGTTAGCGATCTCATGACCGTGAAGTGGTGTAACCTTCACCCTGTAAACGGTTTACAAGTTCCTAAAAATTGTTGGCAACTCTTTTGCTCTAACTTCCTTCCCTTTGGACGCCATCACACTTAAGTGTATGATCATAGTGGGGCTCAAGTGTGGGATACTTGAAATATTCCCCACAGGCACCAATTGAGATGAGCGAGCTGAAGGCTCAATTGCAGTAGTTGCTGGTTAAAGGGTTCATTAGGCCTAGTGCATCACCTTGGGGAGCACAAGTCTCATTTGTGAAAAAGAAATATGGGAGTTTGAGGCTATGCATTGATTACAAAGATTTGAATAATGTGATTGTGAAGAATAAGTACCCTCTACCTAGGATAGATGACTTGTTTGACCAACCGAAAGGGGCAAGTGTGTTTTCAAAGATCGATTTAAGGTTAGGGTACCGTCAATTGAGAGTTGTAGATAAAGACATTCCAAAGACAGCCTTTAGAAATCGTTATAAGAATTATTAGTTTACAGTCATGCCTTTTGGGATAACCAATGCACTTTCCATATTCACGGACTTGATGAACCGAGTGTTTCATGAGTACTTTGATAAGTTTGTAGTAGTGATCATTGATGACATATTGGTGTATTCGAGGAAAGAGGAAGAACATGCTCAGCATTTGATAACTACCCTTGAAACTCTTAGGAAGAACAAGATGTATGCCAAGTTATCCAAGTGTGAGTTCTGGTTGGAGAAGGTTTCATTTTTGGGGCATTACATGTCAAAAGAGGGTGTATATGTGGATCTAGTGAAGATCAAGGTTGTTAGTAAGTGGCCTACACCTAAGAATGTGACTGATGTTCATAGTTTCTTGGGATAAGCTGGATATTATAGAAGGTTTGTTAAAGACTTTTCGAGGATAGCCAAACCTATGACTATCCTTGTGAAGAAGCAAAGAAAGATTGAGTGGAACGAGAGTTGTGAATCATCTTTTCAAACCCTCAAAAAGCAATTGACTACTGAACCAGTGCTTGTATTACTCGATGGGAGAGACGGATTTGAGGTGTATAATGATACCTCGAAGCATGGTTTAGAATGTGCCCTGAAACAGAATGGAGGGTGATTGTGTATGCATCGTGACAACTGAAGCCACATGAGGTCAATTACCCTACGAACGACTTGGAGCTTGCAGCTGTTGTGTTTGCTTTGAAGATTTAAAGACACTACCTCTACGGTGTCTCTTGTAAGATTTTCACAAACTATAAGAGTTTGAAGTACATCTTCACCCAAGATCACTTGAATATGCGGCAACGAAGATGGCTAGAGTTTCTCACAGACTACCATGTCCACATTCAGTATCACGAAGGAAAGGCGAATGTTGTTACAGTTGCCCTTAGTAGAAAATCGAGTTATAATGTCAATGCTTTGATTGTGGCCAATGAGTTTTGTAAGGATATTAGGAGATTGAACCTTGAGGTTATTAACCAAGGAGATTTAGAGGGATTGCTAAGTTCCTTGACCATCAAACCATCCACATTTTAGGAAATTAAAGAAAAGCAATTAGAAGATGTGTCGTTTTAGAAGATTAGATCAAGTGACTTGTGGCGCGGAGATTAGATTCAAGATTTACGAAGATGGGAGTTTGAGATACAAGGAGAGATGGTGCATACCACAAATGTGTGAGGATATAAAAACAAAAATCATGGAGGAGTGCCATAACACACCATATTCAGTTCATCTTGGGGGAGATAAGTTGTATAAGGACATTAAGGAGATGTATTGGTGGCCGAATATGAATAGAGAAGTTGCTAAGTTTGTATCCAAGTGTCTTACGTGCCAGAAGGTGATGGTATCCCACAAAAGACCCATGGGAAAGGTGCAACCATTGGATATACCAGGATAAAAATGGGATTCCATATCCATAGACTTTGTGACAAGTTTACCAAAGTCAGCGATGTTCAATCCTAACAAGGAGACTTGGAAAAAGAAGCAACTAGCAAGTACTTATGTGAATAATGTAATTCGTTTGCATGGAGTCCCCAAGGACATAGTTCGGATAGTGATTTGAGGTTTCTATCAAAGTTCTGGCAAAAAGTGCAAGAAAACCTTGGAACAGCCCTAAAGATGAGCACTGCCTTTCATCTTGCAACAGATGGCCAAACTGAGATAACAAACCAGACAATGGAGGATATGCTGCAAGCCTGTGCTTTATATTTCCAAGGGAATTGGGATGATCACCTACCTCTGATCAAATTCTCCTACAATGAAAGTCACCATGCAAGTATCAAGATGGCACCTTTTAAAGCGTTGTATGGACGAAAGTGTAGAAGCCCAATGTGGTGGAATGATTATAGTGAATGTGTTACTTTGGGGACATAATTTATTGAGGATATGGTGAATAAGGTGAGAGTGATTTAGTCACGAATAAAGGCAGCACAAGATAGGGAAAAAAACTATACCGACTTGAAGAGAATAGATGATGAGTTTAGTGTTGGAGACAAGGTCTTTTAAAGGTTTCTCCAACAAAAGGCGTAATGTGATTCGGCAAGAAAGGGAAGCTTAGTGCTAAGTATGTGGGACCGTATGGAATTCTTCAAAGTGTGGGGAAAGTGGCTTATAAGTTGGCTTTGCCAATGGAGTTCGAGAAAATGCATGATGTGTACGACATTTCCCAACTAAAGAAGTATGTGCCTAGTGAAAATCATGTGTTGCAACCAGAGACTATTCAACTAGATGAGTCTCTAACTTATGAAGAAAGACCAGTCAAAATCCTAGATCACAAGGTGCGTAGTACTAGAAACAAAGTTGTAAAGATAGTGAATTGAAGGTCCTTTGGTCCAACCAAGAGTACGAAGAGGCTACTTGGGAGGCCGAGGAAGAGATGAGAAACAAGTATCCCGAGTTATTTGATGAGGTGAGTTACGAGTGCGTAACTCTTTTCTTTTTGAGGGGGAAAGAATGAGATGTATTTTCGCGGTTTTTACCTCAATTATGCTATTTATTGCTTGAGTTTGCATGATTTTTCTTATTGTTATACATTATCATTGTGTTTACATGCGATAAAAACATGTAAACTTTGGACAAGTATGAGTTCATTAAGTATAAGGTTTAGTTTGTTGAATATACATATTAAGGATCAAGCAATTTACAGCAATACAAAACACAAAGTTTGAATGGTTTTGAAACAATTATGGTTTTTGGGTTTAGTTTCGAGGACGAAACTTCTTTTAACAGGGGTAAATTGTGATCCCCCACATTTTCAACTTAATTATAATATATTTATTTATTATTCATACAAATATTTTTAGGTCGATTTCATTGAATAAATTATTTTTATGAAAAGATTTAAGTAAACTAACATGTTTTTGACTAATTTAAAAACAATTTTAACTTAATAGCCCAAAACCTTAAGTTTTACTCATAATCTAATTAGGAAACCCTAGGCCCAAATAAAACCCCAAAAGCCCTCATATTCATTCCTCTCTCACGTAAAAATAAATAAATAAAAAAAATCGAACACGCATAGAAAAAAAAAATCGAAACTTACTTCTCGCTGCTGCCCTCAGCGCCAGGCGCTGCCGCACCTCCACCGCCCCGCTGCCTAGCCACCACTGCAATTCACCTCCTTCCTCCCTTTTCTTTACTTCTGTTAATTTTATTAAATTGATTCTAAGTTTTAGTCTTTGTTTAATTTTGATTCTAAATTATTATTATACATGGGTTATTAAATATTATGAATTTATAAGTTTTGGCATGTTTAATTCATGATACAAAATTTCAGATTTTATATTATGTATAATTTAGGGTTTAAATGTTGATTTTTCTTGTTTTAGAGTTTGAAAACGTGTTAAGCAAGTTAATTATCAATACTATAATTTCGTAATGACAAAACCCACACTTCTATACTTAAAATTAATTTTCAGTATATATACTTTGTGAAATTGGAGTTTTGTATTGTTTATTTGAAGGATTTTAAGGTATTAATGAGTAATAGACTATTCTAACTATTGAATTATGAATGCAGATCTTTAAATGTTTGAAATTTATAATTTAAATTATTTTTCAGATTTTAAATAATCTGATTTTTTATTAGATTTGAGCCAAAAAAATAAAGGTTTGGAATGCTTCTACAAGTTTAAACAACTATTTATGTAATATGATAAGTATAGATTATTTGAATTGCAAAAACTATTAATAAAACAAAATTTCAACATATGTTAGTAAGTTAAACTTGTTGGAATTTTATATTATACGCTATATTTTCATGATTTCGGCATATAACCTTATAGTTGGAATATTATATTATTAACTATTTAATGGGAACAATTTAAAGACATTATTTTGATTGTTTAAGAGGTTTTAAAATATTTTGGTATTGTTGTTGAGTTATTTTCTTGGGTGTTGATTTAATTCTTGTTGTTTGGTTTAGGAGAGGACTTTATAGAAGGCAACTTCTAGTTCCTAAAGTGGCAAACCAAATCATTTATACAAGGTACATACGATTACGAAACCTTGCCTTTAGATGCATGTTTAGGGATGTATCGAAAACTTAGTATCATGGATAGAGAAGACTGAGCTAAATTGTTTGGTTATACATTGTGATTTCTGTATGTTGTGCACTATTCTACATTGCATGTATTATTTATGAATAAATTATGAAAGATGCGCTTAGAGGAAAAGGTATGTCATTTGGTGAAATGATTCATTTATTACTCGTTCATGATTATTGAGAAAGAATGAGTAAAGAAAGAATATAAGTCTTATAAGACAAGGTTAAGATTACGGGGTGCTTTATGCACTCAAGGTGTTTATACACCAAGGTAGTTACAGAAATAAATAATAAATATTGATTTTTTCTAATAAATCAAGAACTGAAATTGGAAACTTGATTGAATTGATATTGGATTGATTGTATTGTTTTGCATATGAGTCATAACCAAGTCTAAATTGTTAAATCACGTAAAGTGCAAGATGGATGAACAATAAAACTTTGGATTTGTGCACATCAGAAGTAATGACAACCAGGGGTTGGGGGTACACGGGGTATTAGCCGTGCACTTTTCTAGAGGTCTTTTGATCTACGAGCCTCTTATTTCAAATACTTTTAAAAAGCTAGGAGTTAGATAAGATCTCATACTAGCTACGGTCATGAAGTCGCGCCCGTGGTCGTTGGATGTTTTATTGATGTTTCTGAAAGGAGGCATGGAGTTCTTTTATTTATGTTCCAAATGGAGCATGGGATGGACAACCTTGTCTATTTCTTAATCCAATGAATAAAATGAAATGATTGCCACTGTTAACTAGTGAAGTCTTAGTAAAATTGATAGTTGAGTCGTGTGTTGAGTCTATAATTTAATGATGCGTGATGATTGATTATTAATAGCATTTTAGGGAATTCTTATTATATTTCGCAGCTTGTATGTACTCAGCTTTGCTGATTGTGTGCTTTGTGTGTCTCTCTTTGATCATGTCCTTCACCTTCCAATTACCCTGTGACGATCCAATTTTTACATGTTTAATATTGAGGAGCAGATTAACCACAGGTTCTTACAAATGCAGCATTCGCATCTAGTTGGTGGGATTTTGAGCGGAGTGTTGGTTGCTTTTCACAATTTATTTTGATACATAATTTTAAAGTAATTCAAACTCAATTTCATTTTTATACTACTTCTACTTGTTTGAGTTTTGAATAAGGGCCTTAATGGTACCAAGTTATAAGACTTAATTTGGTTTTGTTTGTTGGTTTTAAAACTTATTTATAACCGATTTAGTTTTTTCCGCTGCTAATTTATGATATAGCCTTAACATTTGAACACGTGGCGGTAGTACGTCAGTAATTCTCTTGGATATTGTTTAGGATACTCACAAATTTAAAGAGTGAATTATTAGGGTGTTACAACCAGGTTCTTTCTTAGGCCAAAGAAGAAGAAGTTCAAATACAAAGCAAAGATGCAGTGCTTCTATTGTAGTAGGCGAGGCCACTACAAAAGGGAATGAAATGAGTACCTAGGACATGAGGCGAAAGGAAAAGTAGCTCTCACGTCAATTATCTTATTTATAAACCATCACTTGAATATGAGCAATTCATAAAGGTATTAGATGTCATAAATGACTCACTATATGCTCCTATTTCAGGTACTAAGTGTGAAGAGGCTTCACAAGTAGATGTGCATTTACAAGCGGAAGAAGAAGATAATCTATCCATTAAACTTATAATTGCATAGATTGTCTTAAATTAGAACATATTTCACTTTTAGTGTTCAACGTATTTTGATATTTTGGCGTCAGACGTCGGGTTGTAAGATCATAAGATTATAACTGTGATTGTTTTAAGTCTTGTTTATATGTTTTATGGCATGACACGTTTATCCAAATGTGCTTTATTTAGACAAACAAGTTTTTAATGTTAATGATACCATCAAAGAGAGCTAAGACCATTCAGTCAAATGACACATACATGTGGCATTGTTGCCTTGGCCACATTAACATCAAACGCGTCAAGAAATGTCTACAAGAAGGTGTTCTTGACTCATTTGATTTATAATCGTTTGAAAATTACGAAGAATGTTTATTAGGCAAGATGATAAAGCAGCCATTCTCCAAGTTGGGAGAAAGGGATAGTGACTTATTAGGCCTAATACACACCGATGTATGTGTGTAGACATCTGATTGTGTCCCCCCAAAACCCAAACCCAATGATGAATATATTTCACATCATTAATTATCGAACAAGGTGAAATGTAAAAAGCCTTGTGATGCAGTTGTTTTAATAAAAAAAATATTTCTTTCTGTTTTTGAAAATATTTCTTTTGACTGTTTTTGAAAATATTTCTTTTGAACTCTATTTATGAAAATGTCCAGTCCCATTTAGTTTGGTCCATGATAAGTGTTCAATAATAGAGTAGTAGGATTGGGCTCGAAAAGAGTTTTCTAACGATATATTATAAGCCCAATTCCGATGATCTGAATAAAGAGGATGATTTGGCCAAAACAATAAATTGGGCTCTAAATGAGTTTTATATATAGGCCAATGATCAAGTGGAGGGCCATTAATTATTATTCCTAAATTCATTAGGATTGACTTAAATCTTCTAGAATAATCTAGAAGATTATTTTAAATTCTAGTGGGATTAAGATTATTAATTATAACTTTACGAAAATAAAGAATTATATTTGGAATAAAACAAGTGTTTTAAAAGACTAAATATGATTTTAAATGATAAGTATGGACGTTAATTAGTCTAATTTATTTTGATTAAGGACTCTGTATGGCTTTGAGTTAATGCGTGGACCATCACGAAACAACAGCTCCATCGCACCGCGATAGAACTAGTTTTACACTGAATCGAATTCGATTTTTTTTCTAATCGTTTCGGGACTTTTTTACTTATAAATAGGGACCTTATTCCCCTTTTCAATTCATCAACAATCATCTAGTTCTATTCTTCTCTCTCTCTTGAGTAATAGCTTGTTCTTTCACCCTCGTTCTAGCCTAGCCTTTTTACAAACACAATACTACATTCACGAGTTCTAGACACACCTAGACAAGTTCAAAGTTGCCTTCTCCCTGGACGTGAATGGTTGATAATTTCTTAGGGTTTGGTCCCAAATATTATTTCAATTATTTTTTTAGATTTACTGTTTAATATTTTCCTTGAAGTTACTAACGTGTGTACTGTTTTGATAGAAAGAGATACGAGGCAACAAAGTAAGTAGTTTCATTGCAATACGTCTTTAGAAAGCATGCTTAAATTATTTTATTTCCTAGTCTCATTTTAGGATTATTATTTTGATTCCTAGTATCATGTTAGGATATTGTGTATTGCTGTCTAATATCATGTTTAGGTTGCTTCTTATTTCTTCTATCATGTAAGTATCATGTTGGGGTTAGATTTTTTATCTCTATTATTAAGTGACATTCTAGGATTTGTTATTTATCATGTGAGTATCATACCCAGGATCTTGCTAATAATATTATGCTTTGATGAAAATGTTATTATGATGATAATTTTTTGTGTCAATCAATTTTATTATTATTTTTGCTTGATATTATTGCTATTGCTTAATTACGCCCTCTCTTGCAGGATTAAAGTGAATTTGTATTTGTAATCACGCTTAATAAGACAATTAAAAATTTATTTTAGGCTAGAGTGATTTTAATTAAAGTGATCATAAATAATAGATTTGATTGTGCATTAATATTCAACCAACATAGATTGAAAAGGTTTAGGGTGAATATATTTATAGTATGTTAGTCAGAAAGCGTACATGAATACAAGAAGAATAAAGTAGAGGCATGTTTTTAGGGCAGGTTCAATCTCATTTAGGTTCGATTTGTACCTTCATCCCTGAATAAATAGTCATGGTATCGGACCGCTATGGAGTTAGCGATCTCATGGATCGTGAAGGGGTGTAACCTTCACCCTGTGAACGGTTTACAAGTTCCTAAAACTTGTTGGCGGCTCTTTTGCTCTAGCTTCTTTCCTTTTGGACGCCATCATACTTGAGTGTATGATCGCAGTGGGGTACAAGAGGGTGATTCTTGAAATATTCTCTATAGCTTTTGGAAACTCCACTAGGGAGGATTTCTATTTTTATTTCTAAACTTTATTTTGGCAATAATTTAGAATGAGTGGATAAGACTAGAAAAGTTCTAAGTGTTCATGTCAGTAATTTTAATTAACATTATTGGCATAAGCATAAAAAAAGGGTCTTGGATAGACCATCCATAATGCGTTAAAAACATAGGCTTTTTACGCGTAAGAAATTTGGGAAATATGTTTCACATCTATAATCGAAAAAACGCTTCGAAAACTGGTAAATTCTAAGAATAAAGAGAGCTGCCGAGGCATGTAGGAGCTGGGGCTGAGAAAACCGAGCCCATCGCCTTGCGATGATTCTGTCACGACGAGACAAGGGTATCGTCTCGTGATGGTCCCTGTTGTCTAGCGCCAAGTTCTTCCAATACCGAGCCATGAATCTGCGTTCTTGCTTTGACTAGTTCTAGTAATGTTTGCTCGATATTACTTCTTGATTTAGTTTTTCTTGCTTTTCTAAACCTATATGTGTTCTACATATGGCCATAACCCTCTGGGAAATCACGCTCCATCTACCCAATCGAATGCTCATTGCAATGAAGGGTACATCCAAGTTTGTGAATTCACTTAACAATGGAAAAAAGTTTAACTTATGGGGTCCATCCATACGCGCCAACCCTTCCAAATTAAAGGTAAGGCTTTCGCGCGATGCATTCGGACTTATAATTATGGACTCTCTTTGACTAACCCTTATCCTTGAACTTTATAGAACTAGAGCCATGGTTAGTTTGCAACCCCATTGCATCATATTGTTCTTACTTGACTATTTGTGCATCTTTGCTTGTGCATATTTACACATACCATTTGTTTGACTCGTTTAAGAGTTTAAATAAACTAATTAATGACTATATAGGACTTTGTTTAATTAATTAATTAATTATTTTGTGTATTTTGGTAATTTTTAATAGTTTTTACTTTATTTTCACAATTTTTTTTATATTTATTACTTTATATTATGTTCTTAGTCTAGGTTCTTGTTAATATTTTTCTTCTCGTTTTCCTCCTTTTATTTTCTTTTAGGAAAATTTTTCAGAAAAAACCTATTAATAACACTCTTTTTGTCTGAAAAAACCTTTTAAAAATTTATTGGCCTAAAGAAACCTAATTAGCCCCTGATTACCCCTAATTATCTACTATATCTTATTTACTTAACTACTAAATCTTGGTGAATACAAAAGGTATACGTGTTAAGGACTGAATTTTATTCATAGTTCTGAAGAATTAAAATGGTTTAATTACTAATTTCTCTTGTGTCATTGACCTAATAGGAAGTTTGAGGACTATGTTCTTAGTACCCGACCTTTTTTGCGTATAGAAGAAGTTATGGAGAAATGTGACATCGAATTCTCTGATTGGTTTCACCATAGGTGATAGAAATGTTCTAGTTCTTTGAATATGTTTTTTAGATCTTGCAATTCACTTTAATTAATTCTTGAATTGTGAGGAAAATAGGTGGTTGAAGAGAAACCAAATTCGGATGTCTTGCAAGCATTGTGCATGCGTCCTTTCAAGCGTGTTTGAACTTGGAGGCGGATTTTTGTTGGTAGATTTAATTTACATACACATTCCCATGGAAAACACAAGTCTACAATGAATTATGGTGTGTGTGTGTGTCTAGTGAGGACGGTGGAGAGTACTTTGGTATTCTAGACGATGTAATTGAACTTGTCTACACTAGTCCAAAAAAGATATAAGACTATTTTGTTGAAGTGTAGTTGGATGGATTGTGGTAGGGGTATGAACATACATTAACAATACAAGCTTGTCTAAGTGAATCATACTAAGAAATACCCCAATTAAGATCCCGTCATATTATCTTATCAAGTGAGCCAAGTGTACTACACATCCTACCCTAGCCTAAAACGGGATCGAGTTCAATGGTGGGTTGTGTTTAAAACACAAGCAAGTTAAATGGTTGATGCTCCAGTGGACCTTGATTTTATGCAGGCACCGTCCCCAAAAGTCCATGCAACGCTTTGTCCACTGATTGACATTCCAGACTATGACCTAGTTGAGGATGACGACGAAGATGATGATGGCGGCTTAATAATCTCAAGCGATGAAGATGATGAATCTAGCGTCGACTCTAGTGATAGTGACGAGGATGATAACATCGATTTGGTTTTAGATGACAATAGCGATGATACTAGTAGTGATAGTAGCAATGAAAGTCACGACTAGGAGATCAAATGTGCTTGTTATTGTAAAACGAATAGGAGAATTTGCTTGTAGTTGTGTAATTATCGGTTGAATTTCATTGTTATTGTAAAATCAATTAAAGAGTTTGTCGTTTTATTGTTAATTTTGTTACATCTCATTTTACTTGTAATTTTTGTAATGTTAATAATATCATGACATGTTACTATTCGGGTTTGGTGAGTCCAACACACCGCGGAAACAAACCCAAAAACAAGACCGCACTTGCAATAAATAAAACCATAAACATAATTAACTTAATGACAAGATTAAGATAATAAGATTACCTTTTGAGCGTGCTTCGCCCGACCACTTTGGCTCTTACTTGAAAGCTAACCGCGAAATTACAAAGGCCTTCAACGATGATCCACCCGCAACATGATCACCGACTAGGTCCAATGTCTTGGGGTTAGCAAGACCCGACCAATAAACCCAAGTAATTTAGTTCAAAGGCTTCACAAATGTGATACCTTTTCCATCTCTTGAGTTCAAAGGTTTTCACTACTAGTGAGCTCTTTTCCAACACTTACTCAAGCATCATTTCTAATGCCCCTACTTGGGTATTTATAGGAAATGATGAGAGTATGATTGTCTCTCCCATCAATGTGGGATAGTGAGATTTTAACATTTTATTTGAAAGCTAAAATAAAATTCTTTAAGCAAGCTAGTTTTAAATCAACAAGTGTCAACTATACATGAGAGAGCAAGTGAGGACTACTTGGAGAGGAGGGCACTGGCGAATCTACAGAGGAACAAGGGGTAGCATATACTACCCCTTAAAAAAATACGTTTTCGTCAGAATAAGCATCAGGAAAATACAATATAAAAAATAATTGTTTGAATCTTAAATTAACATTGTTAGTGTTGCCCTGGTGGTTTAATATGTAGAAGAAGCCTTTAATTGTTTCAAGGGTCCAGGGTTCGACTCCCCTAATGTTTCTTTTTTTTTTTAATTCTATTTTTTTGGGCTTTATGTCTAAAAAAAAAAAAAGAATGCCTACTGTAGGGCTAGGCTTTTGTAGCTCTTTATTTTCATTCTTTTACAGTTTTACCCACTTTAACTTGGTTTAATTTGGAAATACTCCCTCCATTAACAAACTTTATATTTAGACTACTTTCTTTATTAATTTAAATTCTTCCCATTAATTTATGAAGTAGTATATTTACTAATGCTTCAATATGGCAATTATTTAGTTTTATCTATTAGTAAACAAAATTTATTCAATATTTAAATGTACTATATAAAAAAATCTTATGTGATAATCTTTTTTCTTAAATACAACATAAAAGTTGATTGTAGCATTTTAATATATAAATTATTTTGTAAGAAAATAAATTTCATAGATAATTTAAAATATAATGGTTAATAATTACTTCTACTAGATAATGTCAATAAAACGTTGATAGTTGAAAATTAAATTATACGTGAGACAATTATAACAAGCTAAATATCCATATCTATATGTTTAATCGTACGTTTAAAACACCAATATTAGACAAAGTGATGTATGTGATAGCAAAAAAGTCAAAATGGGACACTTTATAAAAACGAAAGTAATATTCTTATGACAACAAAACACATTACATAAAAAATTAACCTAGTTTGTTCGAATGACTTTTTTTTTGGATCAAGTTCTACCCCTGACTTGAAATCCTGGATTCGCCACTATATGAGGGACCAAACTTGCTCCCCACTCTCTCCCTAACCTTGCACCACATGTCAACTCCCACTTGGGCTCCAAGGCACCCAAGTGGGCTTCTCTTTTCTTGCTCCCTAAGTCTTGGCCCAGCCAGCCCGCACCCAAGTGTTGCGGGATGTTGCTATTCTCGGCCAGCAAGCTGCACACTTGAAGTGCGGGCTACTACGGAGGCTTGATGCCGAGGCTTTCCTTGTGCGTGCACTTGGCTGCTAGCATTGGTGCACTAGAACGCACCAGCCAGCCAAGGCTCGGCTTGGTGCGCATGCTGGCCACCATGCTACGCATTGTGCCCCTAGCACTCGGTTTACTCGGGGTACTCCGATGCTAGGGGTATTTTGGGAAATACGTTGATTTATTACTATTTGCACGTCTTGTCTTTTACTATTTTTTACTTGACATCCGACGCTCGGTTTCAACACTCTAAGCTCGAATTTCTAATGTCTAAATAAATATTACTCGATCGACTCATTAATTCCTTCCAAATTAATTCGTCGCTTCGGCTCGTTGGTTGCTTGGGTGTGACCCGAAGGGTTCAATCAAGGTTAATCTGTAATATTAATAATGCATTAATATTACTGATCGGAAGCGGCCTCCACCCAGACATTCCGATCACTTGACCTTACTGAATATATTAGCTTTACAATAATTCTAAACCCAATATCAGAATAATACACTTGTTCTAAGGACACTATTCCTTTCAATCTCCCACTTGTCCTTCCGGACAAGTGTTCTTTTAGTGTATATTCCTTTTCCTATGTCGCTTCATGCCTCTTCATGAACTATAAGGTAAGATTTATTTGTCACGACCCTTATTACGTTCATAGTTGTTTCTCGATTCCGAGTCCGACTGTTAATAAGCAGATGGTTTCTAAAATTTATCCAAGGACGGCCATGCATTTTTACAGTCTCGCTCTACGAGAGGCCTTGTAAACAACAAATACATCTTCCCTATTTTAGTAGGGGGACATTTCCAGTCTTGTAATGTAGCTTATCTTACTAAGAGGACCTAGCCGCCCGAGTATGCCGTTATAATCCCCTATTACGGGCGACGTTTGACAATCATCAAAGCGGACTAGTGCTCAAACAAGAAAGCTCACAATACTTATGGTCGAGGAAAAAAGATTCCGATAGCAATAATGAGAAGTATACTTATGACGATTTTTAAGCTCTTAAAGTATTCTCATAGGTCGATCTAGTATGGTTCTAAACCAATACCTGTGCAAATGATTCATGACAATCATATCCTTGTAGCACAAGAAACGGTGTTATAAATCATACACACTAATCTCAAATGGTCATTAATCGTCCATCATTTAAATGACCTCGATTAGGGATAATTTTCTATTATAATATTTAATGTTCACTTAATAGGTGTTTCCTTACCAAAACTGGTCTTGATACCCTATTTTGAATATTCCAAGAATCAAATGAACTCATTATTTAATTCTAAACCACAATAAAATAGCAAATGGAGTGATAAAAAATTTTCTTGAAATTTTAATTTACTCAAAAACCTAAATGGTTCATGTTATGATAAATGGTTTTTCCGAATGTTCTAAGAGTATCACTCTTAATAAAACATCTATAGAAATCACAACCATATATAATATGCTTGATTTCTTTCATGCAATTGTGAATGTTGTCATTCACTTATTGCATAGGTTTAGTTATAACTACTTTGCTAATCTTAGCATCTTCATTACTGATCACTTTCATAATACGATGATAAAATTTGAGAGTGCCATGGATTATATGTGATTTAGGATTTATTGTCCAAGTGATGGCTCCCACCCATTTTCATGATTGAGATCTTCAACTTGACAACCTACAATCATCAATGTTCAAAAACGAACTTTCCATGGAACATCTTCTTTATTATCGCCTTTAAGGAAACAATATTCTCAACATATATTTTGGTAGACTTCCTGATGATGCTTTTCTTGGGTCTCGCAATGATTTGGGATACCCTAATCACTTGTGATCATGGAAATTTACTTGAAATTCCCGCACATTACACATGGACGTACATCCATTGCCATTTTCAATCCACGACTCATTGTTAGCTCGTGCTTATAAACGGCTTCCATGTTGAGGATCTAATCCTTGTTAAGGTTTGTGCTTGCAACATCAATTCTCAAATTGTATTTATTTCCACAAGTCAAGAACTCATCTTGTTACTTATCCAAGTACTTTGGATGTTCTTGGCCATAGTATAACGATCTATTACATAGATTCAGGTTGATTGGTACTATATACATACTTCACATGCTCTAAGCAAGTAAGTGTTGCGACGATTCCATATCATAGCTTACATAATTGATTAAGTTGCAGAGTAATTCTAAATCTTATTCCACCCATGTGACATTTTAGCTCATTCAGTTTCACTGAGTCTTGCTAAATTGTTCGCTATGTGATACGGTTGAAAGTCTCTTACTAGAGTCTTTCTTGTTTGACCTGGTATTTAGCCTAGCTTATACCTAGTTCAAACTTTCACTTAGCTTTAAACATATGGGTTGAAAGCCTTTCAAAGTCCTTCATGTTCAACATGGTAAATTTCTTTACTCATTTAAACATTTTAATTAATTATATATCATAGAACTTAATTCCCAATATGTATTAAGTATCGCCTTTAGCTTGGTCCATTGTCAAAAATACTTTCAAACCTAAGCATTTAGTATTTGACATTTATTTCAAAATAGAGTTCGTAAACTTTTCGTTGGACCTTTATATAATTTACTTTTGCTCCCATTAAACATCTCATTCATAAGAGTTTCTATGTTTCTCCATAAGCCAATCCTCTTATTAACTTCATGAGAAAACACGTTCCAATTCCTATATGAAATGCTTCCTTTAATCCCATAATGGATTCCTTGAGCTTGCTTTCAAATCTAGCATTGATTTAGATTTTCAAAACCCTTAGACTATTATCATAGTCACTTCCAAAATCCTATTTAGGAAGGTGGTTTTGGTATCTATTTTGTCATATTTCATATGTGCAATTTTGCTAGAACAATCACGAAAAGACTTTAGCATTTCGATTGGTGAATAGGTTTTTATTAAAATTAACTCCGTGAATTTAATTGTTTCCTTTTAAACCAATCTAGCTATGTATGCATATACATTTCCACATTTTTTAGTTTTCTCCTTGAAAACTTATTTGCAATTGATGGGTCTTTCACCCTTCATGCAAATTAATCAAAATTAAACATGATTTTCAAACATGGAGTCTATTTCGGATTTATATGGCCTCTAACCATTATTCGAAATTTGGATTTGTCGGAGCTA